GAGAAGGGAGAGTTAGTTCCAGGAAGAACGGTAACTGGATGGCGAATGGTCATAGACTATAGAAAGTTAAATGATGCCACACGCAAGGATCATTTTCCCCTTCCTTTTATTGACCAACTCATTGAGAAATTAGCTGGCCATGCGTACTATTGCTTCTTGGATGGGATGAGTGGTTACTTCCAAATCCATGTAAACCTTGAAGACCAAGAGAAGACCACTTTCACTTGCCCGTTCGGAACCTTTGCATTTCGTCGAATGTCATTCGGACTCTGTAATGCTCCTGCCACCTTCATGAGGTGTATGATAGCTATTTTCGAAAAGTTTATAGGGGATTTTATGGAAGTCTTTATGGATGATTTCTCTATCACAGGGAAGTCATTTGACGAATGCCTAGGTAATCTAGAAAAAGTCCTCATAAGATGCGAGGAAACTCACCTAGCCCTTAGTTGGGAAAAATGCCAATTCTTAGTCAAAGAAGGGATAGTCTTAGGTCATAAGGTATCAAGTCGTGGGGTAGAGGTAGATCGTGCTAAGATCGAGACTATAGAGAAACTACCACCACCAAATTCCGTAAAAGCCATCCGAAGTTTTCTAGGGCATGCAAGATTCTATAGAAGATTTATCAAAGACTTTGCTAAAATAGCAAAACCCCTAACTGCCCTATTAGAAAAAGGTATAGAGTTTGTTTTTACGGATGAATGTTTACAAGCGTTCAATACCTTGAAAGAAAAACTAATCTCAGCCCCAGTTCTTATTGCCCCAGACTGGGCACTACCATTTGAACTGATGTGTGACGCTAGCGACTTAGTGGTAGGAGCAATCCTTGGACAAAGGAAGGAAAAGGTCTTTCACCCAATTTACTACGCTAGTAAAACCTTATCAGGAGCGCAACTCAACTACACAACCACTGAGAAAGAATTCCTAGCAATTGTATACGCTTTGGAAAAATTCAGGCCTTACATCATTCTTTCTCCAGTTGTCGTTTACACCGATCATGCGGCGTTGCGATACCTGTTGCAAAAGAATGATCCAAAGCCTCGGTTATTACGTTGGGTTTTATTGTTGCAGGAATTTGATTTACAGATCAAGGATAGAAAAGGATCGACAAATCAAGCTGCAATTCATCTATCCCGACTAGATGTGGAAGTAGCCGAGCAATTTGGCAATTGTATAGTAAACGAGTCCTTTCCCTTCGAGAGGATCTACGTTATACAAGAAAAGGAGCCTTGGTATGCAGATATTGCCAATTATTTGGCAGGGAAGATCGAGCCTACCTTGCTGACACCGCACCTAAGCAAGAAGCTTAAGTAAGAAGCCCACTTCTATTTTTGGGACGACCCCTACCTTTTCCGGATTTGTGCGGACCAAGAAGTTCGGCGATGCGTGACTGAAGCAGAAGGAAGGGAAATTTTGGCAGCCTGCCATAGCGCCCAGTTGGTGGACACTTCTCAGGAGCAAGGACAGCAAGAAAAGTATTGGACTCAGGGTTCTTTTGGCCAACGCTTTTTAGGGATGCTAATCAATTTGCCGCTTCCTGCGACCGCTGTCAAAGAACGGGCAATATATCCAAGAGAGATGAGATGCCACAACATTACATGCTACCATGTGAAGTATTCGATGTATGGGGGATCGACTTTGTGGGGCCATTCCCGAGTTCTTATGGTAATAAATACATCCTCGTTGCTATCGATTACGTCTCCAAATGGGTTGAAGCCCAAGCTTGCAAAAGAGACGATGGCCGCACTGTAGTTCGCTTTTTGAAGAAACTGTTTTCAAGATTTGGAGTTCCGAGACTGATAATAAGTGACAAGGGTACCCATTTCCGAAATGATCCACTATCTAAGGCATTAGAACGCTATGGAGTTCAGCATAGAGGAGGAGTGGCGTACCATCCGCAGACTCAAGGGCAAGTGGAGAATGCAAACAGGGATTTAAAGAGAATCTTAGAAAAGACTGTTGCCAGAACGAGGAAGGATTGGAGCGAGAAACTAGATGATGCTCTATGGGCATTTCGCACGGCATATAAAGCACCAATTGGTACAACTCCCTTTCACTTGGTGTACAGAAAGTCTTGTCACCTTCCAGTTCAAATTGAGCATAAGGCATTATGGGCATTACGAAATGTTTGCCTTGATTCTTCTGAAGCTGGGCGAGAAAGATTTTACCAGCTAGATGAGCTAGACGAATGGCGAGCATTAGCATTCCACAATGCTAAGCTATACAAGGAGAGGATGAAGTTTTATCACGACGCTCATATTAAGCAGAATAGGGTCTTTCGCGAAGGTGAAAAAGTGTTGCTTTATAATTCTCGTTTGAGATTGTTCCCAGGGAAGCTTCGCTCCCGATGGACAGGGCCTTACACAATCACCAGAGTTTTCCCTTATGGAACCGTGGAGTTGAGAGGGGAATCTGGAACGTTCAAGGTCAACGGTCAACAGATCAAGAGGTATTTCGGTGAGCAGTTTCAA